TCCGCTCCATGGCTAAAGCCAGGGCCATTGCATGCGCACCCGAGGGCGGTAATAGGCTACGCCGCTGCCGCCCCCGCGAAGGGGAGCGCGCAGGGCGGCGTGCATCAGCGGCGTCGAGGGTCGCGTGACGGAGAAGGGTTGAGAAGGAATGATTTTTTTTTGACCGACGTTAACGGCGGAGACGTGGGAATGTTGGGGGGGATGCATGGAATCCTACAAAACAACACTCAATTGTGGGGGACGGGGGTTGCGGGAAGGGAGATCGCAGGCTCAAAAACATGGCTCGACCATTTGTCGAGGGGCCTACGGAGAACAATTGATGATTTTGAGACTGGGGGGATGGGATGGGAAGGGGAGGGGGGTGTCGGGGGTGGGGAGGGCCAAAAGAAGTGTGCGGCAAGGTGACGGTTCTGAACCTTACAAACAAGAAGTTTTGACGGTGGGAGGGGGGAGGGGTTCCTTTAATACGCTGGGGGGGGTAGGGCTCACACCATTTTGTGGAGATGAAATTTGAGACGGTGGGAGGGGGGGGAAGGGAGGGGTGGTCGGTGGGGATGGGAGACGGGGAACCGATAAATTTTGACGGTGTGTCTTGCAGGGTAAAGGACAGCTACACAACAATTTTGATCAATTTTGACGGTGGGAGGGTGGTCGGGGGGGATGGGAGACACGGTCGGGTGTCTTCGAGAGCCAAGGGACAGGGCTCGGACCCTTTTTCGGAGATGGAATGGGAGACCTTTTTCGGAGTGAGGCTGTTCTCAACCTGACAAAAAAGAAATTTTGATCAATGAGGGGGAGGGATGGGAGACGCGGCCCTTGGGGTTTGGAAGGCCAGGTCAACCTCTTAGCAGATTGCATTGTTTAGCCTAGCGCACAGCAAGCACTGAGTCGAAAAGTGAGGTGAACACGCAAAACAAGCCGTGTCGACATGTGGACTTTGAGTGAGCTTGAAGAGGGTCTGGAATTGATACCCCAGCATGTCAATTCAAGACTGAGGTAGTCTGAATTATTAGCGACCTGGGTGGACACTCCAAGATGGAGGGTCTGCTCCTGACCTAAGCACGACATGCTTAGCGATGCCTAAGGCAGACTCTACGACAAGGTGGTGTCACCGTGGCGATCTCGAGTCCTCCGGCCCTTTCTGCCCGCCCTCTGCAGAGAGACGCAGGAAGTGCTAGGCCCAACTCTCAGCAACTGTCTTGCTCTCAATACCGATGCTGAAATGCAGAAAATGCAGGCCCAGATCAGGGTCCAGACCGGTGGTCCAAGTACACTGGCTTCGACTCTTTCTCTGAGGATGTCGCGGAGGCAGCATGTTAGTTCAAAAGTGAAGAGATGGAGCGGTAAAATCACAAGAGTTTGGAACCAGGCCATGGAAGTTCAAGAGAAGAACCTCGTCAGCTGCGAGGAGAAGTGCGTGCGCCAGGATGGAATGCCAAGCTTCCTTGATCAGCGAATAAATCTCACTTGCTTCAGGGATTCGGTGGCTTCGTCGTGGAGCCAACTGATGAGCCGGGAATGGTAAAGGCGCTGCTGTCCATGTCCGCGTAGCAAAGTTGCCGATGTGCAAAGATGCAGGTCTGCTTCAAGCAGCAAAGCCCGCAGACACTGGCCTCTTTGAGACGCAGCTCGGCCAACCGGACGCTCCATGTGAGACCAATCGGCCGGATGCCAAAGAGATCGCAGGCCTGGGGCTCGCAATGTGCACACGTCCACTGTCTTCCAAGTCTGTCATAATCATAGCACTGCAGTAGCTGCGCAACTCACGTGCAAGATGTGCAAGGCTGCGGAGGATGGAGATGGAAAAAACTACTCCTGGGATGCGTGGGTGGCCGGGCTGAGCGTTCTGGTTGCCGCAACCAGCGATTCTCAGAATGCTGCTCTTTGTATCTCTTCCTTTGATGCTCATCTGGCGGTCACGAAGCTCCCCGGTCTCATTTGTCGGGTTCGGCACTTCCCGCAGCCTTGGTTTCGTGTACCAACAGGCATGAGTCGGACAACCAGGGCTTCACCGAGGCGGCGCTGTTGGGCAGCAGCGAGGCAGGCTGAACTGTGATGCCATGTTAGGCCCTATGCAAACCGCAAGTTTGCACTTCAGTTGCAGGATCAGCATACAGCAAAATGTGCAGGCCAACAACGCATTCGTGCGTCTCCTCCAGCTTGCAAGGAACCTCATGCAAGCCTTCGGTGATGCTGGTCTCAAGGCCGGTAGCCGCGAAAAAACCATTCAATAGTTTGATCAGAGCGGGCTGCACGCTTGAGCTAAAAAGGCTTCTCGACATTTCTTGACAGCCAAGCTCCACACCAGTTGCTGGTCTCGAGCACGAAGGCACTCGTGTCATTTCTGCGGGACTTTAGGAGAAGGTCATCAAGCATGGAAAAAATCCTAGGGCAGAGTGCACAGGCGGCTTCAGGAGGGCGGCTCGCCTTTGCCCATCTCGCGCCTGAGCGAGATGTGGCTTGACTGTGACAAGTTACATTGGAGTTGCCTAGGCAGGCAAAGCTGTGCCCTTTGGCAGCACGCAGCCAAGCTCAGGCCTCCAGATGATGTTGCGCTGATCTCGGAACTCGTGGGAGTCCTGCACACAATGATCAAATGTGGAGACGCAGAGATCCGCGATCAAGCGATGAAAGACATTCTGGCTGAGAATGGCATGGATGTCTTTGACATGCTTCTGGAGGCTTGCGTGGCGGAAGTCTGCATGTTTTGCTCTCTCATTCTCAAAATAATTCCGCACCATGCGATGTCTATAATATGCTTGTCCGCTCCAACTAAGGTAGCGGCTTCAAGTACAAATCCTGATCCTTTCTTCTTGGCAATATCGTACGAAACTATTTACGTCTTTCTGCAAAGTACCATCATGAGACCTCGCGTGCTCAACCAGATCATCAGTCGCTTGAGGGAGACGGCTATTCTGCTTCCATATATTCGGGGCCCGCACATCAAAGATGTTCCGAACGAGAAGTACATGCAGCTCTGGTGCAAGTGTGAGTTGAAGTACGGAATGCAGAACGATGCACGGGCGAGACTCGAAAAGCGATACAAGAGCGAAGATCCAGATGAGCACAGCCTCTGGCGTGAGTTGGTTCCGGAGATCCGGGAACTCCAGCTTCCTGCCTAAACTCAGCTGTGGGTGTTGGCATAAGTCACTGTTGTTTGCAGAATATTTCAAAACAAAAGGTTTATTTGATGAAGTTTCAGCTACATGGTCAGGAATACGATGATGCATCGAACGCTCCTGGGCATTGTGAAGATCATTCAGCTGCTTAGTGAACTCGCGCGTCATGACGACAGCCAGAGCTTGAAAATGGTGACGGACTGGGCTTGGTTGCATGTAAGAATACACACCGCATTGCGACCCTTGTCTCAGAATGAAGCAGACAGGAGGGTCAGATTGTGCGGTAGCTTCCCTGAAGGATTTACTGAACGCAAACGATCGAGAACGTCTCTTGATCGGCCCAACCACTGGCCTTGTGACCTGCCCGGACTTTGATGTCAGGCCGCGTTGCAACATAGCTTTCGATACCATTTTGTTGTGCCGCATGCCCGTAACTTGAAGATGCCCCTAATTAAGAATTTTCCGCGTAAGCCAGGAGCACCACCATGAATGGGCTAGTTGTAGGCTTTCAGGTTTGGAACCGTTGCTGGGGATGCTGTTTCCAAAGCTGCGTCCGTCATTCTGCTTGTTGTCCTTAGCAGCATTTGCCATGTTACTCGGCCCTGAAGGGTGGAGAGCTTGATATGCATTCGACATGTGCTGGAAGCCACACCGGACCAATTCGACTTGGAGGAGATGGGGTGGCTCTTGAACTACCTGACGTCTGTGGGAATGGGCATTGGCAGACAGGGCCAGTTCTTGACTGAGGTCATTGACTTGATCAAGATGTTCGTGAGAAACAAATCTCGCACAGGTCAGAGCTTCCGTAGCAAGTTTGCAAAATATGCCATCCGGGAGTGCTTCGAGATGCTCACGGTGAACAGCCGGAGAGAAACACATGGCAACAAAGAGGAAGCAAAAGCCAAAGCTGATTTGACTGCGAAGATCACGGAGCTGCTGAAGGACTGCTCAAGGCCCCTGTATCAGAGGTACTTTGAGGTCAAAAGAGCCCTGTACTACAAATTGCAAGTGCCTGAGGCCTTTGTCAGGCGGTCTGCGGAAATTTCTTCGGCGAGTTGATTTGCTGCAGTCCATTCGGGAGGCAAGCCTGCCCTTGACATGCAGAAAGACGTGATGAACTGGTGCAAGTTTACTGGAAGGTGCTGCAGCAAGAGGAGCGTACCAGCGGGCATAGCGCGCCAACTCAGATCCTTGAGATTTGGACTGGACGAGACATCCGCCAGGTGCTGCGCTTGCCGGAGGGTTCCGTGTGATCTTCCCTTCTGTTCCTTTCTGAAGGTACTTCTGCCAATTGTGACAAGTCCTGCCTTCGAAGTCCACGGCTCCGTGGTTCATGCAGCTTTAATGCGGCTCGCTGACGTCATTCAGGCCATCTTCCGAGTTGCTTCTGCTTTCAACTTTCTACCGAAGTTCTCGGGGGCATGACAGGGTAAGCCAGACTACATGCACTCCGACATACTCCAGGATAGAGCTTTGTGAAAACAGCTTGGACAAACTCGATCATGTGAACAGCCGCGAAGGATGTGCCGCCAACGGACGAAGCCGAGCCATGGCCCGGCTTGACCACACTCTACAGGCAGGCAGCTGTGAAAAGATGTCAAAGCCAAGAAGGTAAAACCTGTCCACCCAGCAGGTTTTTGAGGAAGGACTATCGGGATGCCATCGAGAACGAAGACAGTGCTTACCAGCAGGAGTTTTTCGTCAACAGTCGTGGCTTAGATCCCTTGCTGCCTTGCAGCACCAAATGCCTAAGAGCAGCCTTGCAGCGAACCATGCTTTCCGTCAATCAGAGTGTGGTGCATCAAATCAAGGTTGGACTTTGCTCATCGATACTTCGCAGCGAATGAAGATCTCAACATAATTCTGAACAGGGTGCAGGCCTTGCAGTTAGAGTGAGAGGGGATGTTGAGGCGAGATAGCCAGTTCGTCCCGCAGGATAAGCTTGCACAGGAACTTGGCGACAAAGAAAGGACTCGCTCCAGTTCTTGTGTTATGAAGCTGCATTCGGTGACTCCGACCATCTCCAGGAGCCTCCGAGCAAAGTGGGAAGGCCATCAAGAAAGTGTTCGTCAAGCTGAGGCAGAAGTGAAGACAACGCAGGAGGAACAGACGATGCCCGATCCCTAGGCTGACGACATTTTCGAATGTTTCACACTTTTCACTTCCCAGCACTTCCTAGCGTCCTTTTCAGTCAAGGTCCGAAGTTGTTCAGGACGGGGTTCTTTTCTCGCAGCTCTGCGTTGCATCTTGCGCTCGTGCTTGACTTCTGGTTTACCAGGACTGCTTGACAGCGCGCCTACGTGCTCTAAATGAGGGGGCAGCTGCACATTTTCGGTGCAATCTCAACCAATACGACCAGAAGAAGCAAGAGTTCTCCTTGTCAAAGCTTGCCAAAGTCTACCAGAATTATTGGAAGGAGAATGAGAACCGTGCAAATCAGGAGGCCACAGACTTGCAATCGCAGAAACAGCTTGCTGCAAGTGTACATGTAGTCACACCCAATGCGAGAGGTGCAAGAGCGAAGTGATGCCATCTATGAGCTTCTCCGCATCCCAGATAAGATTGCCATTGATGGCCAGTTGAAGGATGTTCAGGATAGCCGCGAAGCTGTTTCGATGGTTCTCCATCACAACAATTCAAGCTGACTGCTCTTATGCCATCAGGATCTTGGGCGAGTTCCCAAAAAGCAGCGGCGACTGCGTCAGCCGCACCGGGACTTCGACAAGCTGCTATATCAAGCAACAAGAGTGCATAAGATCATGAAGACAATGCTTTGTGATTCAGCCAAGCGGGACAACGTTGAAGTGGCCAGGCCGGTTCAGAGAGTTGGTTAAGTCCCCTTGTCAACCTTGAAGCGCCTTGGAGGTGGTGCCAATATGAGCCTGAACCTAACGGTCCGCCAAACGTGCTTGCTGCCGGTCTTCTCGATTTCCTGCAAGAAAGCAAGGTGCGAAGGAATTCATTACATGCTTCCTTGATGTGATGTGCTAACAGACCAGGCCTTGGCCATCGACGCAGGACATCCAGATGTATAGATGCATTTCTAGTCAAATTGGCAGACATGTGGAGACTAATTGTAACTGCCGGGCGCTGTCTGCCTCCGCCCGGCTTTTGGACTGTGCCGTGGGGGAGATGTCAAAACGGCTTATCTCAAGCTGGCTCCAGTCGGTATCAGTTCGATGAGAAAACAGCAAAAACAGCTTTTAGATTCCTTGGCTTGCAACAGACACAGCATTTCTCTCCTGTATTTGCAGGATTCCGGCCGCGTGAAGAGCTCCTAGTTCTTGACAAGTACAAGTACTTCAAGCGCCATGACCGGCGCACCAATCTGCCGCTGACTTGCAACCAGCCAAGGTTACGCGACCTTTTAGGCAAAAATTCGGCGCAGTCGAGGTCCTTGATCTTCTTGGAGTTCCCAGACGCGCGCTGCCTGCTTACAGCCCTCCAAGAGTTCTTAAAGCGGGCGCAGCGGCTGTTCCTGTACCAGGTGTGGCTCTCGGCCTCCCCCTTCATGACTTCGTGTCCTGTGCGGGGTTGACGTTGACGCTAGGTACGAAACCACTTCCGCATCGCCTCAAACTTGGGTGAATATTACATTGCCTTGAAGTTTCAGCACCAGCTGCCGGACAAGTTTGGTGTGCTGGCTTTGCTTCAGGGCTTAGGGCTTGATGCCACTATGTGTTGCTGACATGACTAAGACGAAGCTGGCAGGACTCCTCGATTCATTACTCAGAGCTGCGAATGACTCTAAGCGGCAAGTCCAAGAAGATGAACACTGTCCAGCAATATCGAGATACAATGAAGAAAGCGGAAGAGATCCTCCAGAGTAGCTGCGACGTCCCAGCCTCCGAGACTGCGCTGGTCGCCCAGTACATCGCGAACATGTTGAGAAGCCGTAGCATCTACCACTCGGATATCATCTTCCTGCGCTGCAAGGACATCAATTTGGAGGCCTCTCTCAGTAGCCACATTTAGGGTCCACGAAGCCACAAGGTAATCGGTAAGTTTCCTTGGTTTTCAGAATCTGACATTCACCAGCCGTTTGGGCGAGCTCGACACTGTGTTGTAAACAGCTTTGCAGGTGGATGGTGAGGAAGTTTTTGCTCAATCAGCTGAGCTGACAAGTTGCCAGCTTTTCGTGATCGAGAGGGAGGCCCGCCACACAGAGGCCAAAAAGTGCCACATCGGATTTTAGGGCTTTTGTGTGGTCGTGAGGCTGGTGAGGGCGTCGTGAAAGCCAATGACCGAGTCCGACTGAAATCCAAATTCACACAAAAGTATTTGGAAACCTGACTTGATGTACCAGACTTTTGTGGCTTTGCAAAATTCTGCTAGCTAGTACGTTACGTGCACCAGAATACTTATCGAATGTATGCTAGTCTTTTCAACCAAGGATGTGCATGCCAGTGGTCATTTGAGATGCCGTTTGCCCGACTTCACAGAGGATGGCAGTGCAAGTGACATGCAGCAACTTTCGTTGCCTGAAGCTTGCAGGATTACGACATGACATTCACAGTTGAAACGGTGGGATGCAGAGATGACTATGCCCTAAATCGTACTTTGGCTGCAGAGGGAAGTCTGACAGGGCCCAGGTCCCAGGCTGGTTGGCTCCCCAAAAAATTCTAACAGTGCATTAGGAAGGTTTTGGTGCTTTTGGGTGACTTTCAGAGTCCATTTCTGCATTTGGTGCTGGCAGCATGAATGCTGCGATCTTGACATTTCCTGTTTTGATAACTTTTTATGTCTTTGTTAAATCCAGTGACATCTTCAGAAGATTATAAAGTGTCAACATGTGTGGTTTCGACGTCAGACATCTTGCAGATGCGGCGGCACTTGTAAAGTGAACCGAAACTTCGAGGTGCGAAACTGTGACAGGTTTCATCGCGTTGCAACTTCAAAATCGAGAGCCCGAGCCCTTCAGGAAATGTCTCGGATGTCTGGTGCATGCTCTGCAAGTCAAGACCACCAGTGACAGGTGTTCCTGAGTAGCTTTTCATTGGGTGTTACAACTCCCCTCATTTTGGAAGCGCAGAGCTAACACTACGGACTTCGATCAAGTTTGAGCAGGCTGAGACGGTCTCAAACCATTTGGAGACATCTTGAATCTTGATCTTTCTTCACTTTTCAAGCCTTGCCGACACTTGCATTTGGATCGACAGCCTCAGGAATGAGGGGTTTTCAGCAGCGTCAGCATGCATTGGCCTTTTGGCTGATAGGTCCTGAGCAGAGTTAACAGGACTGGACAAATTCTCCAGGCCTTTCGAGGCGACTTGGGGTCTACAGGTCTACGGCGTTCGGATTTCAGATTCTGCTTTAAGTTTGTACATCTTTTTTCAAAGCAGCAGCGGCTACGAAGCGTCAGCAAGTTTTCAGCAAATATTTGCCTTTGTTATCCGAGAAATGGCAAAGTTGAGTTTTGAAGCAACAGTGCGGCCGCTCCGCAGCTTTCGCAGAGTCTCATGACTGCAAGCGTATGGTGCTTTCTTTCAGGATGTGGCCTCAAGGGCAGCTTGACAGAGTTCCGCAGCGTGCATGCGGAAACTTCCTTGAAGCTCAAGGCCTCATGGTCCATGCACCTGACAATGGGCTATGAGATTCGTGTTCCTGCTTCTTGTTGCCCGGCTGGGGGTCAGGTCAGTGCCGCTAATTGTGTGACCGTGAGGCGGTCGGGCTTTTTGAATGTATCCAGGTTGTGGGCTGCATAGTTTCAGATTATCAATCACCTGCGAGTCCGTGCAAGGCAGGGTGCCAATTTCTTGACGTCCTTCGGTGAAAAGCTTGCCGTGAAAAGCGAGCCGACTGACGTCTTCTCCTCAAACGCGGGAAGTGAGTTCATGGATACCTTTCGTGTTACTTTTTGCAGTCACCTTGACTGTGAGGCAGCGCATGAGGCTGGCCAAGTCTTCACAATCTACCGGGACGGATCTGTACTACTTGACTTTCACGCGGTCTTCAGCGGCAGCAGTCGTGCTGCAATCAGGACATTACACTAGTCTTGGCTTACTGTGGTTGTGCTGCAGGGGATGGGTGACAGGTGGAGGTCCTCGCACACAAAATCCATGACGTCGTGCCTGGTTGTGTAGTCGTGCAAGCACACTCGTAAGATGCATACAACTTCAGGCACTGCTGTGGAGTTGGGTGGAGTGTGTAAAGGACACGCAGACCACACTTGTTGGCAAATAGTCTTTTCATCGTACAGACTGCCTTTTGACAAACAAATGCCTTGAGCTCTGTCTCTTGAAAGTGTCTTCTCAAACCTCATGCGTGGCTTCTTTCAATCCCAGCCATGCGGATCAGCACGATGAAGTACAGGTAAGTGGGCAAACCTGGAAGTTCGGTGGCCAGACCGCGTGAAATACATGTCGATGAGGATGGAAGGTAAGCAAACCACATCGAACTTATTCACGCGGTGTGCCCTTATCAAACGGGGGGAGTCAGTGGCGAAACTCCAAAGCAGAGCTGTCTTGGAGCAAATTTCGCAAAGAGTGTCACATCATATCAATCTGATGCACATGATGTTGGTCCTGGAGGGAACCTTTGAAGTCTTTTCCAGCCTAGAGCATGCTTTCATCGAACCACCTCAGTACTGAACGCTGTGTGTACTCGGAAGGGAGGAGGTATTGCTTCGAGCCTGAAGTTTGGATTAGACGGTTGTGTTTGTACCTCGATTAGTGCCCGGATTCAAACCTGAAGGAAGAGCAGCGAGCGTGCCATTCTCTGACGGGCTTCCTATAAAGAAGTCCTTTGGCATGTTGATGGTTTCTGATAGCTGGTTTGCCAAGGATGAGCATTTGCACCTTTTGGACACACAATGCTATCCTCCAATCCTCCAGATACTTGCAGAAAGTGGCGGGTTCAGCAACCTGCATTCACGACCAAATGTCAAGCCAGCTACTCGATGAGAAGAACTTGCAATGAATGCAAGCCATCTCAAAAGCCGTGAGCGCCGCAATCTGCATGTCTCTTAAGGCGTGCAATGTTTTTCTTCAATGGTGTTGCGTGTGAAATGCAGGACTTTGGCACAAGAGACTTCGGATGAAGTTCTTCAGAAGACCATGATGGAAGCGCACATGCGCACGGAGATTTCCAGAGGAGAGGTGGATGTTGCAAGCACATCCTTCCAGAAAGTTCCGCCAGAGTTCAAGACAATGATGTGGAGCATTGCCGGGCACTTCCGAAGCCACCTGGCACCATGAAGTCTGTGGGTCATTTTTCCCACGTCGCCTGAGAGGAAACTTCTCTTATTCCTTGCAGGCAACAGCGAGAATGCGAAGCGTGCCTCTCTGGAGGCCCATGAGCTGCGCTTCTAGCATCAAGTGTGACTGCTGCCAATCAGAGTTGCGGCACTTCAATGGATACGTGGCTGTGGATCTCATGACATTCGGATTTGCTCTTCCCGAAGTATTTGCGAACTTGGGATGGGGCAAGAGCAGAAGCAAGATGTTAGCATTCATGGCTTCTTATTGATATGGCTCTTGTTTCCTCTGCTTTTCCTCTGAAGAATGCTACGGCCGGCAGTGGCAACGGCGGCGGGGGTGGTTTAGGCTGGTGGTCGTTGTGGTTGCATAACAATACAAGCGGCAGCAGCCTCGCAGCAGGAACAGCAGGAGCAGGACCGGCAGCAGCCGCAGCAGCAGTCACTTTCCTGGATAGGCTCTCACATGTTCTGGCTGCAAACACTTTGGCTTCATGTGCACAGATGTGTCGATCGCCATGCCTGCGCAGGCTTCAACTTTGCACAAACTTTGGACGAGAGCGGCCAAGAATCTTGCAGCTATCCTGCGATGCATATACATGCTGATGGAAGTGCCGCAATGTGCTGGTGCTTCGAGGTGGGACAGCTGGCTTCTTGTGTATCCAGGATATCCTTCTGAAGCGGGCGTTACAAATAGTACCATACAGCAAGTTTGGAACAGGCTGATGATCGTCGAAGCGAGTAGGTAAATCAACCGCAGCAATCCGAGACTTCCCAGGTAGTTCCCGGTACAAAAGGGGAGGATGCGGCTAGGGAAACTGAGGCATTTTTGAAGCGTGGATGTCTGGTAGATAGCCGAAGGACATGCTTGAGGTGTATCATCTACAGTGTACAGTATCTTTAGCGAGCTGCAGTCTCAAAAGAATGCTTTCAGGTACGTCCTGGAGACTTTCGGTACACGGATGACGCAGCACTCTCCGCTGCCAAGGCAGTTTGATTTCTCTCCTGCACCTACGGTGAAGGGGTTTAGGAATTGTGTTTCATTGATGTGACGAACATGTTGTGCTCTTCAGGATTATCGCTCTCGTCTCAGCTGTTCAGATTGCACGTGGCTCTGGCGCATCAAAGGTTCAAACTTATCTTCACATGTGCTAGTAGTCCTCAATAGCAGCATATGTTCAATTAGCTGAGGCAAGGAGAAGATGCCAGAAGGCGAGCTGGATCTTACCTGCGCGCTTTTGCCGAAGAAGTTCATGCGCTTTTGCGCTGCTGTGTTAGCGAACCTCTGGGTCTGCCAGCGGCCAGATGACAGCGAGGCGAAAGCATGTCTTTGAAAGCGTGTTGCTCAAGCACGTAGCAGATTGGCAGGGATGCTGCATGCTGACAATTCCAGGCTGTGTTCTCGGTTCCGCGGGAGCAAGAGCGTCATGAACGAGAGCTGGCCACCACAGATCGCGAAAGAATGCATTTGCTCAGCGTGGTGGGCTCCTACGCTTGCGATATGGTAGCCAGCGGGCTCCAACTTGGCCTTCCCTTTGACTTTGAAACATTTTGAAACCAGAGCAGTTCATGGAATGTCCTCTCCAACGCGAACCTCTGCCTGACCAGGTGAAGCCGATGCTCGAGAAGTTGAGGGTAGCAGGACAAAGACCTCTCAGTCGAAACGAGGCTGCCGCCGGTGCTGTGTAGGTTTGCTGTTTGTCAAGGTCTGGTCACACCATAAGCAGATGTACAAAAGCAGTGAAGATGCCAAATTGAATGCTTGTGGGTCATGATCTCACAAGCCAGACTTTCTATTTGAACGATGTCTTGCTAAGTCTTGTTCCTGGATGTGACTTCAAATGCGAGGTGCTCGTCTTCCAGGACTTCTCGAAGCTTTGCCTTTCGCTTGTGCAGGGCATCTTCGACAATGAAATGCGATGTTTGTCTGCTTCGTCCCAGGCGATACCAGCAGTTGCAGTTGTTGCAGTTGCTTGTACTGCGTGCCTCGGGCTTTGTTGAAAGGCTCACAACCATGGCTCCACGGCGATTCTTGACAAGGCCGAGACCGCTCAGAGAGTGGCTAGAGAGTGCAGGGTCATGCAGGGGCTTTCGTGGTGCAGTGATCTAGGACCGAGCTGGATTCGGAGATGGAACTCCTGCACCGAAGGGAGATGCCTTGGTTCCACAAAACGTAGACAGCGGACAAGGAGCTCTTTGCGAGCTGCAGAAACAACATGCCAAAGCCCATCAGCTCAAGGCATTCCTTGCCTAGGAGACGGGCTGAACGCAAATGTTCTCCTTTCATCCAATGCGGACAAGCGTGCCTCCAACGCCTTGTCACAGGCAAGCCATGTTTGCCACTTGCATTGCATGAGAATCCTTGTATCAGCATGTGCAAGATCCTCTACATGTCAGGATGCTCGAGCAGCCGTGGTGTCTGACATCATTCCTCCCATTGCCATCAAAGCCCTCGTGCATCTCTTCCTGTATGCTTTGCATCAGGCTGGCTTACATGCCAGTATATGCCAATGCATCACGTCAACCAGCAAAAGTGTACTTGCTTTCAGGAAGCCATTGCGTTCAGAAGTGCAACAAGGGACACAGAGGCAGGGACAGCTACATGCGAGATATGCAAGTTACAGAAGCGAGAAGAACTTTTAGCGGGTCCTTGACCTGATGCTTGATGCAGTTGCCTTGTCGGTAGATGTTGCCAGCAATAATTCAAGCCATGGAGGTGCCTGTTCGTGTTATTTCTGGCATCATCAATCAGTGCATCGCAGCACTTGCTGCGCTCATGCGACTTGACTGCAAATTCGCTGGCTGGTGCGAAGATGAATGATGGACTGCTGATTTACGTTTTGTTGTCGTACAACACGGTATGATGTCCATGTGTAAGCTTCGGGACAGCGGCCAGGAACCTGACTGGCAAGTCCAACGCAGAGCTGCGTCCCACAGAGGTCTTGCAGGGATGGGCAAAAGTTCCAAAGGGGGCAGATTGCGGCAGAGTTCAGACCGCGCAGTTGCAAAGCACTCGAACAAGCCAGGATGGGCTGGATGCGGAGAGCTGCGACTACGACGTCTGCGAAGCAATCTCTCAAGCCATGACGGAAGGAGCTCAGCTGGTTCCCCGAGCTCGAATAGCGCAACTACAGGCGCCTGGCCAGCTCGGAGCCTGCCCTGCCAGTTCAAAGCCTGGTCAGGCAGAGAGGGGTGCAGACTGCCTTCGATCGCATGTGCAACAAATGATGGAGGACCTCGTGGCAAACATGCAAGGGTTTCGTGTATAGGTGTCGTTGTGCTTTCGCCGTCCGCACGGTTCATGTTGTGCAGGAGGGACAATTGGACTTCTCTTCCAGCCAGAAAGGTTCGAAGAAAAAGTTCAACACGGAGAGGGTCAGCACCATAGCGTTTGTTTGGACACGGCTCGCTGGAGACTTGCAGGCGCCTCTCTCATGCCCATGACATGCTGCAAGAGAGTGGCTTGGTCACCAATTTGCGTGAGGATTCCCGATGCCTGCTTGTTACCACCACGCGTTTCCGAATGATGCTTTTGCGGGTCCCGGCAAACGCATCATCGATGCCTCAACATGTCGATTTGCAAATTGTATCTCCGCCACGCAACATGCAAGACTTGAAACGCGTGGTCGCTGATTTGAGGACTGATTCTTTCTGATGTAGGGATTTGTTAGAAAAAGTTTTCACGTGGAATCAATGCCAGGATGCGGCAAATTGTCTGCTTGGTCTGGGAGGGAGACGAAGGAGCACAATTCCAATTGCTCGTCTTTGAGAGCTCAGCACGTCGTCGTGTCTTCCAAGAGGCTCGCATTTCTGCACGTGATAAACGCATCGAGATTCTGCCTACACCCGAAGCTCACAACGTCCAGGCCTTGCGTAAAGTCCCACGGAAGCAGCAGGCAATTGGTGAAGAGCCAAGGAGTCCAGCCTGCAATCTCTTGTCTGAAAGGTAGCTCTCGCCAGGTCCTTCACAGCCTTCGCATGCAATTTATCATGCCAAGGAAAGAGACAGCAGCTGTCCGCGCTCGTGGGCATGGCATTCTGGAATCAGCAGTTAAGCCAGCTTCGCTGGAGTCCCTGCGAGAAACATGTCAAGTCCGAAGGGGTGGCATTCCACTTGTGCCGCGGCAGCAGCAGCATTTTTCAGGTTCCGGAAAACCCGCTCTGATTATAAGATTTTCTGTTGGTTGAGTGAAGCCCGCATCAGTGACGGATCGGCAAGGATTTTCCGAGGTTAGTGTCTCCTTTGTGCAAAGCTCGGGCGGGTCTGGCTTGGGGGTGCAGCTGGACATGCTGGTCCTAACCCGATGTAGTGTGACTGATGCTTGGATTAAATGATGACGTGCCATGCGTTTGCCAAGTCGCAAAGCATATTTCATATTACTGCAGCGCAGGTTGTCTCTTTCAGCAGCTTCTGGTCCAAGTTCTGGAGGCGGGCGGGCGGTCACCGACTTTAAACATGCTGCTCAGTGCGTACATGGTGTGAGGAAGGACGATGAGAGCTACTACGATGAGGAGGTCACGCAAGCCAGCCTGGACACCGATTCGGAAGACGACCGTTTGCCACCCTTCAGCGAAAACGTAGTTGCCACTTCCAACGACCACGCGGACAAGTGCGAGGCCAGACGTCAACCTTTGAGGCTATTGATTACATCTCTTTGCAATGCCCAGGCCTTGCACGGTAGCCCTTGGGACCTGGACGACTTGCAGGGTGTTTGGTTTCTTTCTGAAGCGAGTCCCAAGGACGGGTTGTGAAAGTGTGATGTAGTGCTGCCGAGAGCATGGATCATAGCCATATGAGGACAGCAATGACAGCTCGTTTGTGAAAGTATCACGTGCAACCTGTGAGGGTTTCAAGATATGTTTGCACGTGGCACCGCCTGGTTTGGCATGCACCCTGAACAAAGCCGACAACAAGGATGCTATAGCGAAATCCAACAGCGTATTTGCATCACACAGCTCACCTATGGGTTTTGTTCAATTTTGTTCCATTGCCGAACTTCTGTCTGAAAGGTTTTCTTTTGTCAGCTCGCGCCTGCACAAGATATGCCACCGTTGTATCAGTGCCAACTTCGGTAGGTCTCCTGTAGGTGTTTCTCGACATCGCGTCTGCTTTATCCTAGTCTTTGCGCAGGAGTCCCGGGGAGTTCCGGAATATAGTTGTGGAGGGGACACTGAAGCGCCTGCCATGCTCTCATTTTAAGAATTTTTTGGGACAGCCGTGCGGGCACGAAAGTCTGGTCCGATCAAGACTGCGACGGCTGTCGGGCACGAAACGTGCTCCAGCATAGCACGACGCAAGGGTTGTAAGACGCAACGCAACCTGTAACCTTACGATCAACACCAACGAAGACGGGTTTCAGCCGCATCGTGTGTGCGCAAGCTTCTTCAAGCGCCGCCCAAGCAAAACTTGGAGAGCCATGAACTCATTCAAAGTCCACAATCGATCAGGAGCTCTTAATTTCATCGTACCTCTTGGAAATGTAAGCTCTCCCAATTTCTTACGCCAATACTTCCGCTCTGTAGCTCCCCGCTAAAAGTGCCTAAGCTTGGGGCTCTTTTTTTTGAGGGGCTTGCAGCAAGCAGGCTGAGGCGTGGCGAGCTTGCAGGAACGTGCCTGGCAGACTTGTGCTTCTGGCGCCTACATCGTGCCGCTAGGACGTTTTGCCTTGAAGAAGAAGACCTTGAGTTGCCAAGGGCAGTTCTTCTCCTTCGTTTCGACAACGTGTTCTAGCAGCAACAGCAGCAGCAGCAGCAGCCGCTGCAGCAGCAACAAGAGCAACAGCAACCGCAGCAGCAACAGGAGCAACAGCAGCAACAACAACAGTTCGAACCCACATTTCGATTTTTCGTGCCCTTCAGAAGTCCCCAGACCAACTTGCAGGGATAGCCTTTCATGAAACTGAAAGATTTCTGAGAAGGCTAGAGTCGCAGGGGCAGCCTCAAACCAGAGTGGGGGGGCAGAGGTGGGGTTGGGGCTGGAGCTTGGTCTGCCTGCTTGGCCAGAGGCCAGGGCAAGTATTTCGGCAACCGTATCCCCAAGCCACACGGAAGTTGCAAGCCCTTTCAACTAGCTCAAGGCAAGAGTCAGATGCGGTAGGACTTAAGGAACCTGGACCCTGAGATTGATTGCCGCTGCATAGAGCTGTATGAATGTCATGCAGAGTGCAGTCCGGGTACTTTTCTGCATTTTTTCTGGCGCGTACAAAGCACCTGATAGAGCAACTTGCGAGTCTTTCTGAACTGAATCTGCCTGTGTCTGACGCAGACTTGGCTGTGGACAGTGCTTGGCGAAGCTGTCCAGGTTCGACTACAGTTTGGGTCCACCATCGAGATTACCTTCTTGAGTGATGGTGAACGGCAGCGATTTCGCCGACATTTGGTCTCATGCTGAGTATGAGAGACAGCCCACAATCGTGTTGGACAATAGGCAAGATTTTGCGCAGCTGCCAAAGCTGGGCTTGCTAAGGCCACCATACTATCGGAAGGTGCAGAACCTCGTGCAGGCAAAACCTCACAGGCGCCTCATTTGAATCAATTGGGAACTCCTTTTGTCTGCCCAGTACACTGTCCTCAAGGCCTGGGCAGTTGTGCCGACAGACAAAACGGACATCAAGAGCATCCAGAAAGAAACTGGGGCGGGAGCCTTGTCGACTCTACTGCTGCTTGTTGTCTCGGAAAGTCCTAGCCGGGGCCAGGCCATGCAGACCAGCGCTCAATTGGCATTGACGCGAACCTGAGGCACTCCTGTTCCAGCGTGTGATGATGAGACTTCTAGGAACTTGATGTCCTGAGTCTTCTTGGCATCTGCTGTTTGGCTGAGAAACTCTTGGCTAGGCCTTGCCATGAGTAGAAGGGTGCATCATCCACAGCGTTGGCCACTTCACCGCAAACTTTAAGAAACTTTTGCAACGAGCAACAACAGATTGGGTTGCACGGGACGACAAAACGCCGACCTGGTGCCTGTCATCCAGCCGACCTCGTTTTCGCAGAGTAGCTGTTGCACACTATAGCACTGGCAAGTCTTCAAGCAAGCTCTTGTCTGCTATGCTGGGTATCAGGCAGTCGCAACCGTAAGATACCTTAGGAATACAAGTGAATCGCCAAGATGCGCGAAGGACAGGGTTTTGGTCCCTGAATGACACTGACTGTTTAGTTCAGAGCTCCGTCAACATTCTGAAAGTGCTATGCGTGTGAAAGAAGTGAGAGCTGCTTGAGCCTTGCCCTTGAAGGTACACCCTGGCCATGAAAGCCAGGAGATCTGAGCCAACTCCGTTCAGGTACCAAAATCAGGTACTTAATTGGAGCTTCAACAGGCACGCAAAATCCATTTTGCTTCCCTGACCAGCCTCAGGCTTCAGGGGAGACGTGGTGTAGAGTCGAGACGCGGTGTTGTGGAAGCCTGGAGCTAAACATTGCTCCGAACGACGCTGGTTTCTGCCGCAAGGAAGGTCGTCTTGACGAAAGCTCAAGCACTTTTAAATCCAGAGCGCTTGCAGAGAAAGCACATGTTCGACAAAACTACCCTTTCACTGATAATATGCTTCTCACCTGAGATTGCCGGCTGCACGTTTGGAACTTGGCCGCACCATGCCCAATGCCTCTCAGGCCAAACTTTTAGCAGGTCCGACACTCACAGTGTCTCCCAGCCTGCATGCTCTAGGACGACTGACAAGGAGACTGATAAACTCAAATCCCAACAAACCAGCCCTAAGCCCAACCAACTCAAAACAAACACAAGCTTCAGCAAGAGGGGCAGATTCTGCGGTGAATGGCAGGGCAGATTGACAGTTAGGCAGCATATGGATCAAGCCTGTTGCGCTGCAGTAGTTTGCAGTTGCAAACCTGTTTCATGTCTTTCTGGATTGCATTGAAGTAAAGTTCAGCCACAGAGGGCAACTCCAGGGTAGCAGAGCAGCACTGCAAGATAATCAAAGCAACAGCTGTGAGACGCAATGTCCCATTTGGCGTATTTGCCAGATGCTGCGTCGCTGGGCTGACTGATCTGTTGCCCTTTGCAGCGCTTTGCCGCGCTTTGCCGCGCTTGCCTTGCTTTTCTGCGCTTTGAGTTTGCAAGGTGGACTATGTCCTTGGACCGGTTGTGGATCTTCCGAATCAGAAGGCCTGCCACCCTTCAATGGTAGGGTGCTATGGAATACAATGTGAGACAGAGGAGAACGCAGTGCAAAGGTTATGACAGTGAGGAAGATGGCGCGCGAATTCCTTAATGCTGCTGTCAGTACTGCATTCGGTGGCTTCGCTTGAGAAGCTTGGAAAGTTGAGGTGGTGCTGCTGGAGGCTGTGGAGGTGTTGCGTCAAATTCTTATGCATTAGTATGGTTGATGCCCTTGGCGCTGTTCAGCAGGCAGTCGCATCTGCGGGAAGTGCCTTCCCCTACGCGAAGTGTCAAATCTTGCACTCCCAGGCCTGCAAAGCCTGGCACATCAAGATTTGTACTTGGCCGGTGGCTGTTTGCAGCCAAGGAGGCGCCCAGTGCTTTCTCGCGGCGCTCCGAGGGCATGCGCGGCAGGTCTCTTTCTTGTGGCGTGGGTCTAAGCCAAGCTTCAAGCCAGAAGATGGGTTCGATCTGAGAGTCTACAATCTGACTTGAGGGAGCCACGGTCTTTGCTGGCATATCTTTGGCGCAGAAAGCACGGTCTGCCTCAGAGCGCGGACCTTTGCATTAGAGTTAGAATCTGTAGTCTAGAGGCTATGAGTAAGCCAAGCAAAGCTGCATCCAGCTAGGTCCGGTGACGCAAAGCCAGCTGGCCTGACAGCCGCCTCCTGAGTCCCCTCCGAGCTTTGAGAAGTAAAAGGTGTCCTGCATCGCTCTTCGAGAGGCTGAGGAGTTGTTGAGCTCGATCAGCTCGGTTGCCACAGCCAGTCTCGAAAAGGAGCTGATTCGAGCTCAGGCAAAGACATTTCGTCCTTCTCAGCCGAGAAGCTGCCCCGAAAAAAATCTCGTACAGGCTCCACGTGGGAGCCTCTTCTGGACCTACGGCGAGGTGCGCTCCGGACAAGCTAGATCAGATGCTCTGGTGCTTCACGAGCAACAGTTTGGAGAACACCTGTTGGGTGTGTTGTTGGCAGGGTGCGAATGCCTCCAGGCATGCTCACAGCTTTGCCAGGTCTTCAGACAAGGATGTAGCAAAGGTGGCCAGTGGGCGAACTGGTCCTGAGTCTATCCAAGGTGGAGGAGGCTGTGCGAGGAACCTTCGAGAACGCTAGTGCGGGACCGACCGATGTTGTTAGCCATGGCTTACCACATTTTTATGCTTCCAGCTCCGCATTGCAAGGCTCTTTGATTCGACAGCAACGCCGCCTTGCACAGGTGCCTTGACACCCTGAGAAACGCTTCAAACACACAGCCCTGACACGTCACAAAGAAGAATTGGTTGTGGCAAGTGAGGATAGGCAATCTTGACACTATGGTGAAACATCACTTGTTGGGAAAGCTTGGCAAACGCATATTTCAGTAGCACTTTACTACTTGCAGGAGCTGGACTCCTTCTCGCTCACAGAAGGACAACTTCATGCCTTCGTCTGCGTGGGCCTGAATTTTGTGGCAGCCACTGCTTACCTTCCTTTCTGTTCTCTTCATGCTCTTTGGCTGCCATACCTAACCTGGCAAGTTAGCAGCTAAACATAAGCTGTAGTTGGAAAGAAACCAATCCAATGACACATGTCAACAAGCACACCCTCTTCGCCTTGCCACTCATCAGGCACAATGACACATCGAAACTCCAAAAGAGACATATGGTGCCAACCATGGTCTCTTTGTGATTCAAGGGTAGATGGACACATAAGATACAAGGAAAATGCCTGTTTTGGTCGGTTCCAGGCCAGCAGCTGATGAGCTTGACAAGCTGAGTGAACATCCAAAATTCGGGGACATTTACCGCAAAACCCTGCCAAGGTGGAAAGGGAGCCTGCCCAGAACACAGGGCAGTTAGGACTAAATCCAATGTCGGGACTTTGGGAGTGGAGATTCAGTGCGGCTGGAAAAAGTGTTGTGTAAAATGACGGGGCCAGCAGCACAAACTCCGCCCTAGTACCGCAGCATGGTGTTTTTTTCTGACTGGCGGCCTTCTTCCTGACTCTAGGTCTTTGCCTGATTTATTTTTTCCTCAGGCGTCCTGACTTGTGCTTTTCCTTTCTCCTGACTCGTGCTCAGATCCCACTACTGTACTACTAGCCCTAGCACTATCATTGGTTGCTGCTTGCTGCCGCTATTGTTAATGCTGCTTCTATGACCACCGCCACCGCCACCACCAGCAGGAAGATGACGCCTGTCAAGCAATAGTGCGTTAAGAAAACCCTGGAAGTGCCGTTTGTAATCTCAGGCAGAAGATCAATATTGCCGCGGATCAACCTACCTTGCAACGAATGATGATCAGTCAATACTCTTTCAGTTATTTCCCACCTGATGTGCCGCTGTTCTGTTTGGGAACCAGAACGAAGAGCAGGGCAGCACCAGGAGATGCGCTAAGACAACCTCCACACGCCTCGTTTGGAGTGAGACGTGCCCCACCTTTTGTAGACCATCTCCTTCGCGTTTGTTTGTTGAGCGTGTTCAGCATATGTGTGAGCCGGACCCCCGAGCTCACCTCCAAGAAATCTTCATGCAGCGTCCAGCACGGAAGTGGAGGTTCGATTTCCATATCAACCCCCGCTTATGTCAAACTCTTGACACATTTTGTTAATACCCATTGTGACATAGCCACGCACCTGCCGGGCTATGTTCACTGTAGCTCGGACTACACAAAGCGTCAAAGTCAAAGTCAAACGTTTGTTTGTTGAGCCGTCCTTCGTGGAGGCTGAGCAATGTGTATTGCGACGCAATGAAGGTTTGGCAACCAACTTCAACAACAGCCTTTTACTTGGTAATCCCGAACCTACCAAAATCTCATGAATGCCTCTCTGGCCCACGGGATGCAGGGGTCGCTCGCGCCCAGGGCAATACCCCAGCCCTTGTGAAGCAAAGGAAAGCAAAACAAAGGAGAGAGACAGAGAGAGAGTCGGTTTAGCTGAGCATGGTGGTAGGCCTAAGAACGACCACCAAATCTGGCATGAACAGCACGGTGATGAGAACAACCACCACTCTTCAGGGGACGAGGGGACGAACCAATCAGCGGTGACAAGCCATAGGCACAGAAGGTGTCTGACCCAGACGGCGGTAAGACGCAGAATCAGAGGAAAAGCAGAATCAGGAGATGACCGACGTGAAGTCGACGACTACTGGCGCTGGCTCCTCAGGCGAAAGCTAGGATGCAGTGTGCACGGAGGAGGACATGGTGCCAACACAGCCATACATGGCCGCTGAGATCAGGCCCACAACATGTGCACATTCGGAGACTCAGAGCACAGTCGACCTAGAGCAAGGCCCAGACCCTGCAGAGTCCAGCTAGTTGGGAGGAAGACTACGAACAGATGAGACAGGATGAGTATATGGCAGTTTGTGCCGCAGTCGAGGATGAAGAGATGGAACAAATTCTTCGAGTGGAGGCGATGTGGGAACAACAAGAACGAGATGGTGTTGCGGATACTTGCGCGGACAGCAGCGACGCATGAAGTGAATTTCAACGACCAGCACCACTGAGAGGTTGTAGCTGCTGCAGAAAAGCAGACCTCCTTGGCGGGTTGATGCATTAGGGCTCCTTCTTGGTTGACATTTTTCCCCCTATGGTATAGGTGATATATTCTCAAAAGAGCAAACCTGCCATGACATGGTATGAGCACG